GATGGAGTAGAAACAGTTGATTGACAGTTGAGAGGCGAGCCGAAAGAGCAGAGCTCAACCCCCGCAAGAACAACTAGGTGAGTACACACTGTCAGATGTCGGCCCCCCCCCCCTCCACCCCCAATATACTCAACCTTTATTTATTTATTTATATATACAAGAGTCCTTCACGAGAGACATCTCCCGTCACGCAGGGTGCAGGCGCGCCTCCACAGATCTCCAGTATCAGCTCTTGATACTGGTAATGGCTCAAAAGGGCCACCACTTACGGGCTATTCATGCCCGTGCCACCTTTTGGGTGGCTTAATCTTCATCAATCAATCAATCAAGAGTCCTTACATTCTTGTACAGCCACCAGAACGCGTAGCGTTTCGGGCAGGTCCTTAATCCTAATTTTCTCCGGAATACGACCCGCCAAATCGTTCAACCACCAGGTACCCATTCACTGCTGGGTGAACAGAGGCTACAGCTAAGGATTGGCGCCCAGTCAATCCTCCCCCGGCGAGGATACGAACCCAGGCCAAAGCCCTTGTGAAACCTGACGTTTTGTTGAGGTCTACCAACCTCTGGAGGGTTATTAAGGTCACCACACTAGCTTATTGACCTCTCCACTAAAATTCCTATTTAAAATCACGTTCTGTGCATATACCAACTTACGTTTACCAAAATTCTTGGTATATATATATGTTTGCTAAGGTATTACACATACTGGAATCATTTTAACTAACTACGTTAAAATTTAACATTGAATAAAGACAAGTCTTCCGAAATTTACTAGAGTTACTCACCTAATGGCAACACTTCACAGAAAACGGTCAACAGAAAGAATGGTACTGTTGAGGGGAGACGATGCTGAAAGACTGAACGGCTCCACAGACCAAAAAAATATAATTACCAGCCTCTGAAAAATACTGGAAGTACTATAGCCCCATAGTTTTTCATTTCAATAATTCCCAATGAGTGGGAAGAACGGTAGAAAGAGCAAAAATAGCCGCTGTGATAAGTAAGAACGAAACAAAATAAACAGAGCTCAGGGGCTTACTTTCCCTTTACGAGAGCTGAGAATGAACAAACTTCTTACTGGTTATCTTGAGGTTATCTTGAGATGATTTCGGGGCTTTAGTGTCCCCGCGGCCCGGTCGTCGACCAGGCCTCCACCCCCAGGAAGCAGCCCGTGACAGCTGACTAACACCCAGGTACCTATTTTACTGCTAGGTAACAGGGGCATAGGGTGAAAGAAACTCTGCCCATTATTTCTCGCCGGCGCCTGGGATCGAACCCAGGACCACAGGATCACAAGTCCCGCGTGCTGTCCGCTCGGCCGACCGGCTTACTGCCTTCAAGAAGGAGCTCGACCGGTTCCTTCTTGCCGTTTCTGATCAATTGGGAAGGAAGGCCATTAGGCTTATCGAGGTCTCACTTGACTGACGTCTTTCGCAAGATGCAACCCTCAATGGTCGAATCTCAAGTACCTGTTTTGTTTACTACTTGGTGAACAGAGTCATCTGGTGTAAGGAAACGTTTCTCAAATGTCTCGCCCTACCGAAGAATGGAACTAGGGTCCAATCGGTTGTGACTCAGTTGGACTCAGTGACTCAGACTTTTGTGGATCAGTTGTTGCTAGCACAGGGCCACAGGGCCAAGTACCCATAACCCAGCTGACCTGGCACAGGGCCACAGTGCCAAGTACCCATAACCCAGCTGACCTGGCACAGGGCCACAGTGCCAAGTACCCATAACCCAGCTGACCTGGCACAGGGCCACAGGGCTAAGTACCCATAACCCAGCTGACCTGGCACAGGGCCACAGTGCCAAGTAGCCATAACCCAGCGGACCTGGCACAGGGCCACAGGGCCAAGTACCCATAACCCAGCGGACCTGGCACAAGGGCACAGTGCCAAGTACCCATAACCCAGCGGACCTGGCACAGGGCCACAGGGCCAAGTACCCATAACCCAGCTGACCTGGCACAGGGACACAGTGCCAAGTACCCATAACCCAGCTGACCTGGCACTTAATTTCTGCAGGAATCTGTCTTAATTCTCTTATTAAGCCCTCATTTGTACCTCGGCAATTTTTTATATATATTTACTGGTATATGATATATACTACGGTTGACTAGCCATAGACGTCAGCCGTTCATATAGTGCCGAGTGTGTCTGGTTAACGTTACAGTAAGAATTAAGCCATCCCAGTGAAGAGTAGCTACCAACGACAGGCTGAGAACGTTCCATTATAACTGATGCCTCTGTTCATCAAGCAGTAAATAGGTTCCCTGGAGTTAGGCAACTGTTGTGAGATGCATCCTAGGGGAAGGTCAGTAGTTGGCATAGAAGGGTGGGGGGAGGGCCCTCGATAAGCTCGGTCCATAGAGCGTCGGCCTCACAGGCGTGGCGGGGTCTACGGTTCGAGTCTCCTAGCGCCTCCAGATGAATGGAATGTTTATTTCCCACGGCTTGATATTCTCCCGTGCGATGTGACGATGTATTTCTTCACCAGGGCAGTGTGGAGAAATACATCTGCTGTGTAAACTCGTGGGTTGTATACTGCAAGACGTGGCGTGTATTTATACACCTGGGACTAGATTCACGAAAGCACTTACGAACCTAAACATCTTTTCTCAGTCTTTGGAGACTTTGTTTACAATTATTAAACAGTTAATGAGCTCAGAAGCACCAGGAGGCTGTTTATAACAATAACAACAGTTGAATGGGAAGTTTTCATGCTTGTAAATGGTTTACTAAATGTAACCAAAGCCGTCAAAGATTGAGGAAAGATGTACAGGTTCGTAAGTGCTTGCGTAAGTGCTTTCGTGAATCTGGCCCATGGTCAGTAAGGACGTGTTTTCCCTCGAGGATAACAAAGCGGAAGTACCGTAATTCACAGCCGGAGTCGGAGGTGGATGACAGGGGCAAACGGAGGTGCTCTATTATACAGGTTGAGTCATGGCTCTATAACGCGTTAGAGCGCTATAGCGACTCAAAGAGAAAATATCCAACCAATCACAGCTCACGGCTCGGAAGGGAGGTGAAGACCAGCAGGACACGGGTCCTCGCTACAGTCTACGATGTCTTAAAGCCCTCCTGGATACTGACGGCCGAGTGGACAGCGCTCGCGATTCGTAGTCCTGAGGTTCCGGGTTCGATCCCAAGTGGAGGCAGAAACAAATGAGCAGTGTCTTTCACCCTGATGCTAGTGTTCACCTAGTAGTAAATAGGTATCTGGGAGTTAGACAGCTGCTACGGGCTGCTTCCTGGGGGAAGGGGGTAACAATAAGGAAGCCTGGCCGAGGACCGGGCCGCGGGGACGCTAAGGCCCGAAATCATCTCAAGATTACAGCTTTGTTTACAATTATTAACCAGTTTACGAGCTTTGAAACTTCACAACCTAAGTGTTTATATTGTTAGAAACAAAATCTTTAAGTGCCTCGGAGCTCATAAACTCTCTGATAATGTAAACAAAGTCGTCGTGATTGAGGACAAGATGTAGAGGTTTCGCAAGTGTTTGTGTAAACGATTGGTGAATCCCGACCCCCTGGGCATCAGTCCCCCACAAGTTCCCATACCATTGTGACCCTTGACCCCCAACACTATAAAAGGCAGCAGCCAACTTATGACAGAACCACTTCTGTAGCAGGTAAGTTCACTACGGGCTCACCATAGCCCGTGCTACTTGCCCAGCTCCTGTGCCAGGTAAGTCCACTACGGGCTCACCATACCCCGTGTTACTTGCCCCGCTCCTGTGCCAGGTAAGTCCACTACGGGCTCACCATAGCCCGTGCTACTTGCCCCGCTCCTGTGCCAGGTAAGCCCACTACGGGCTCACCATAGCCCGTGCTACTTGCCCAGCTCCTGTGCCAGGTAAGTCCACTACGGGCTCACCATAGCCCGTGCTACTTGCCCAGCTCCTGTGCCAGGTAAGTCCACTACGGGCTCACCATAGCCCGTGTTACTTGCCCCGCTCCTGTGCCAGGTAAGTCCACTACGGGCTCACCATAGCCCGTGCTACTTGCCCCGCTCCTGTGCCAGGTAAGCCCACTACGGGCTCACCATAGCCCGTGCTACTTGCCCAGCTCCTGTGCCAGGTAAGTCCACTACGGGCTCTCCATAGCCCGTGCTACTTGCCCAGCTCCTGTGCCAGGTAAGTCCACTACGGGCTCACCATAGCCCGTGTTACTTGCCCCGCTCCTGTGCCAGGTAAGTCCACTACGGGCTCACCATAGCCCGTGCTACTTGCCCCGCTCCTGTGCCAGGTAAGCCCACTACGGGCTCACCATAGCCCGTGCTACTTGCCCAGCTCCTGTGCCAGGTAAGTCCACTACGGGCTCTCCATAGCCCGTGCTACTTGCCCCGCTCCTGTGCCAGGTAAGTCCACTACGGGCTCACCATAGCCCGTGCTACTTGCCCAGCTCCTGTGCCAGGTAAGTCCACTACGGGCTCACCATAGCCCGTGCTACTTGCCCCGCTCCTGTGCCAGGTAAGCCCACTACGGGCTCACCATAGCCCGTGCTACTTGCCCAGCTCCTGTGCCAGGTAAGTCCACTACGGGCTCTCCATAGCCCGTGCTACTTGCCCCGCTCCTGTGCCAGGTAAGCCCACTACGGGCTCACCATAGCCCGTGCTACTTGCCCCGCTCCTGTGCCAGGTAAGTTACGGGCTCACCATAGCCCGTGCTACTTGGAACTTGTTCCCAGTAGCTGAATCTATAACAACAACAACAACAACAACGTATAACACGCGCCTTGAAGACTGGAAAGCAACAGCACAAGAGAGGGAGGGAGTTATCAGGGGGGGAAAGCGCCAAGCCATTACGACTATACAGCACTTGGAAGGGGTCAGGATAAGGATTTGGGATGGGACGGGGGGGGGGGAAGAAATGGTGCCCAGCCACTTGTGGACAGTCGGGGGATTGAACGCCGACCTGCATGAAGCGAGACCGTCGCCCACCCGTCTGGAAGGGAACACATACACATACACACACACATATATATATGTACTCACCTAGCTTGTTGCCCGTTCTTCTCTTCACCCGCAGACATATTGTTCGGGATCTTATACACTGGAACAGGAGAAGATCAGGTTTAGTGGCAGCTACCATCAACAAGTTGCAATATGTCAATCAATCAATGCAACACTTGCAGACGAGGAGTCACAATAACGTGGCTGAAATATGTTGACCAAACCACACACACTAGAAAGTGAAGGGACGACGACGTTTCGGTCCGTCCTGGATCATTCTCAAGTCGATTGAGAATGGTCCAGGACGGACCGAAACGTCGTCGTCCCTTCACCTTCTAGTGTGTGGTCTGGTCAACAAATGCAACACTTACTAATCAATACAACATCAACCCTTGCTTGCTAGGAATAATTTAAAGAGTTACTAAAACCTAACAGATATTTTTTTGGTATAAAAATTTATAAACAAAAAAGTGATCAGGATTGAATAGTAATTATGTTAAAACTATATAAAGGCCTTTTGCAACTTGACGGATCGAGTCTAACCAGGTTAAAGCCACTCCGTAAAATATGCAGCTGTTTTGACCACAAACCTACAAACCCAAGCAACCCACCTAACCTATCGGGGTCGATGAATATATAAAAAGTCAATATTATGGTGCTTTAATGTTTATAAATCAAACTTATTTTTAACAGATTAATTTATTTCGTTAAAAATGCGACGTTTTGACGAGGAAGGGTTGTGATCTTGTCACTAAACACTGGAGTAATAACTGTTTACAAACCACTGATGAGATGACCTCGAAAGACGTCAGGTGACCCTTGGCGGTGTGAGGTGACCTGACCCCATGACTTCCCCTGGCCCATGACTTTCCCTGGCCCGTGACTTCCCCTGGCCCGTGACTTCCCCTGGCCCGTGACCTCCCTTGGCCCATGACCTCCCTTGGCCCCATGACCTCCCTTGGCCCCATGACCTCCCTTGGCCCATGACCTCCCTTGGCCCCATGACCTCCCTTGGCCCCATGACCTCCCCTGGCCCGTGACCTCCCCTGCCCCACAACTTCCCCTGACACACAGCCCCAGCAAGACCTATGACCTCACCTGGTGTATGTGGGAGATGACTTCTGTATGTGTGGCATCTTCAAGACTCTTGCCGTTGACCTCAAGGATCTCGTCTCCTACTTCCAAGTCTGCCTTGTCTGCCGGCGAGCCTGTAATAACAAGACACCCTGCATCAGGACCGAGTCAACAAAAGGAAATTACAAAAAATCAAATTCAAAATTCAATTCAAAAAGGAAATTTGATGATTCAAGACTGTGAGTCTCAGGGGCGATTGCTGTTAAGATCATAATGCTGGGGATATATTAGGTGTTCAAAGTGCCGGGTCGGGCATGGAGGGTATACCAGGGGCCAGATTCACAAAGCAGTTATGCAAGCACTTACGAACCTGTACATCTTTTTCTCAATATTTGGCGGCTTTGTTTACAATTATTAAACAGTTAATGAGCTCCGAAGCACCAGGGAGCTGTTTATAACAATAACAACAGTTGATTGGCAAGTTTTCATGCTTGTAAACTGTTTAATAAATGTAACCAAAGCCGTCAAAGATTGAGGAAAGATGTACAGGTTCGTAAGTACTGGCGTAACTGCTTGGTGAATCTGGCCCCAGGAGTCTCCAGGTAAACTCCAGGTAATGCCCAATGCCCATAATTGCTCCTGGGTACTACAAACCATATATGGGTTTGGCCTTCAACGAGAACTTGTTTACAGAGCTGAGCAAACTGCGTCCTGCGGGCCGCATGTGGCCAATCAAACTGGTAAATGAAGCCCGCGAACTAGAACCCCGCTGCACACAGCCCGCAGAATTATTTACTGCATTCCGCGAATTCCTAATTGTGACCCACACACAACCCGTCCTCCCCTAAGATTTCCCAGCGTCAAGAAAATGGTCAATTTAAAGCGGTCTCTCCTAACCTACCACCAGAGGACCCAAAACAGAAAACGGGACAGTACGTCACTTTCGCCAGTTCCATTCTCCAGTACGACCATTTTTGGCCTTATTTGTAACGCATACGGTCCAAATGCGACGTTCTTTGTAAGAGGACAGCTTGCTCCCACGAATGCCGGCTATGGCGGTCAAAATGTATTTTCGATACTAATACATATTGACTCAGGAGGTGACGGGGAGGTGACGGGCAGGTGACGTGGGTGTTGCCGTAAGGTTTATATGGTATTCCCGTCACCCGTCCACCCTGACACTGACGCCTTCACGGGAAAATCTGTCAATCTTCCTTCCATCCCCCCCCCCCCCCCGTCTACGTACCTCGTATCGTGCTGCAACCCGTTCTCGCACTTTCTTACAGTCAATATTGACTTATTAAATACGTGCATATGTGACATACTAAACATACTAGTTTACCTTGAAAAGCTTCATAGAAAACACCGACCTTACCTAACCTTCTTAGTATGTTAAGATAAGCATCTTATTGCTTCGTAATTACAATTATTACTTAACCTATACCTATAATAGGTTAAGTAATAATTGTAATTACGAAGCAATAAGATGCTTATCTTATTATTACTTAACCTATACCTATAATAGGTTAAGTAATAATTGTAATTACGAAGCAATAAGATGCTTATCTTAACATACTAAGAAGGTTAGGTAAGGTCGGTGTTTTCTATGAAACTTTTCAAGGTAAACTAGTATGTCACATTTCCACGTATTTAATAAGTCAATATTGACTATACGAAAGTGCGAGAACGGGTTGCGTGCTGGTTCCGGGTTAATATTCCCCGCAGCCCCCCGAAAACTATCTAGTTTCCTCTTGAAGATGTCCACGGTTGTTCCGGCAATATTTCTTATGCTCGCTGGGAGGGTGTTGAACAACCGTGGACCTCTGATGTTTATACAGTGTTCTCTGATTGTGCCTATGGCGCCCCTTTTCTTCACTGGTTCTATTCTGCATTTTCTACCATATCGTTCACTCCAGTACGTTGTTATTGTGGGAACCGACCTGTGAGATTTATATTTATTTAATTTATATGAATTTATATTTACGTTAATTTATATACTTCGATAGCAATTTGTATAATGATAAGTGGACTGTATTTCTGCAATAATCTCATAATCTCACAAATCGATCCTCTACACATTAGGGGGGGTTTATATTTATATATATATATGCAGCCAATCAAACTACAGGAATTAACTACATACATTGATGAGGTTCCTTATCTTATAGTACAGCAGGCTAGTCCACCAGGTATAACTAGGGTGTAGACACCAAATTATCCTCTTTGAGGTAGCTTCCATCACCCAGTAACTGGTGCACAAAGTCTTCCATCCTCGTCTTGACCTGTCAAAAGTGCGCTAGCTGTGAAGCCAGAATCCTATATATGACAAGCTATATCAGAGAAAACACTATACAGTACATGGAACATTGAAGACCTGGCTTAATTACCTTTAGTTTGAGGCTTCCACGTGATCTAACCGGGTCACCCTATATCCTGACATTAATGGCCATAAATGAATGATAAACGGGTTTCGGATAGACTTAACTTGAATTGTAGACATCGTGTTGGAGATGGTACCTTTGGTTTCCATAACACTACGTCCAAGTAAAATTAACAGGAGCCGTATTTGCTCCCGTGTGCCTCTGGTCTCGTATACAATGGCTGTTTAACACTCCATACTATTGACGTTACTGGCCGACATTGTCCAGAATGGTAGGAGCCGAATTTGCTCCACACGTCTCGGAGGTGACACAACAATGGCTGCCTCCTTCCTCACTCTCGCCTGGCCTACTTGTCCAGATTTCAGAACGTGATAGAAGGGTCACATTTACTCTACTTTAATATTGATAATTAAGTTAATTTATATAAGATGTTTTTATGATGGTAAAGTCCAAAGACTAATGTATTTAAGAATAATTCCCACCATAATAGGTGGTGAATTATAATAGTGTGTGGTGATGATATCCCGTTTTCTTTAGACGGTAATTCCACTACAAGTTACGTTTTCTATGGGTAACTTGTTGGTAATACAGTTATTATCTGTATGATTATTAAATGGTGTCGGATTTTCCGACATAATTCCCCAGGGGGCTGCTCACGGGTCGAAGTCCTATTTAGAACAGACGAACACCGATACTCCTCCTTCGAATTATTAGATTAATCACACATTTGTGCGTCTGTTCGTACAGGACGGATGTCCCGTACTAGAGTTGCAGGGGATAGAAGTCTAATGCAATTTCATTTCCCTGTCAACTCTTGAAAGGCTAATATTCAAGCCTTATTACATATTATTTAACCCAGAAGACTGAATGTGATCAAGTACTACAGTCAAGTATGATTCAGGGACTGCAGTGAGATCAGTGACATTAGATATAACTTGAAGTTTCTTCAGGTAACTGGTCACTGATATATAAACACTGAGGCCCATGGAATACATCTTGATTAAATAATAAATGTATCAAATCAGTCATCAGATTTATTGGGGTTTAATTTAGTTAATTGATTCAGAAGATTGAATAGCTCATCATTAAAGTAAAGTATGGTTCTGAGACTGCAGTGGGTTCAGTGACATTGGTCGCAGTGACTTGTAGCTGTTTTAGGCTACTGTTCACTGATTTGCCACTGAGGCCTCATGAACTCATCTCCAGCTTTAAATGATGATACTAACATCAACCTCTGTTGGTATAGTCAGCTGTAATCTCCTTAGTATAATGCTACTGGAGAAATATAATCAGCTGACAAATTTAGATTTCTACTGGTATTGTTTATCTGCAGGCATAAGTCTCCTCAGGCTTGATACTGGGCCTGAGAGTAATTTACCTCCTGCAGAGTTTAACATGGTTATGCCCTAATATTTAGTAGGGCTACCAATGAATTGATGGTAGTAGTCTGTCCCCACAAGGACAGCCATTTGGCATTTGATTTGCTCAAATTTACCTGCAGCTGCTTGATAATAGCTTTCCAGGTCAGCATAATCAACTTGAGATTGTTGTGACAAATCTTCACATTTCTTGATCTGTCTTGTTAAGTGGCCTTTAAGACCTGCAAGGGTTCTTTTCATTCTCCCTGCATTATCCATACTGGTTAGTTGGTGAAGCCTTGTGGGACTTGTACTTGGGTCGCTCATAATACTGGACAAGCTCTAATGGTAGCCTAGGGTAAATTCTGAACTCACTAGGCAATAATCCTACCTCTACTAGAGGTTAGCACTTAAAATTAATACACATTATATATATACAATCATCCACACTAATGATTTGAGTGATAAACCAGTGTCACTGGAAGTACCTTTAGGTTAGCTCCTCTATATCACCCTAGGATGGTAGAGACACTAATTAATCACTCAAAGGTGTAATGATCATAAGTAAATTATTATATATACACAACTCGAGTTGATAAAAATTACACCCAAAATAGGGTCTGGACCATTCATTAATGGTGTTAGGTTGTTCAATATAGTACAACTGACTATTGTAATAATGGGACTAGGATGAACAATAATAGTTCAACTAGTCATATCCTACCCTGTTGTGGGTTGGCAATTAGTAAATATTATACTGTGATCACTAGTGCAATATATATTAAATAATTCTCTATTTTGGAGAAATAATATACACAATTATTGATAATAGCCTCTTAATTAGCCTCTATGAAACTTCTAATATTATCAAGAAGTATTAAATATTATTAGTGACCTCGCGAAATAAAGTCCACAAAATTCGTAGATAATCTCTCGCGAAATGTAACACCACGAAATCCGTGAACAATATCGCGAAGACACAGTCACTAATTTGGCTGGTTTCTATATTAGCGCTGTCATTTCACGAAATAACACGCCACCAAATATCTGTGGGTGTGCATGAAACCGCTGACGAAGCTGAACTGGGCTGAGGGAGGCTCCTGAGCTCCCTCGAGGCTACGCTGCCGTCTTGACTGCTGGCTTTGTTTAAATAAGACTGCACTAGTATATTTAATGAATCCACTGGTTAACTGGTTCATCCGGTACTAAGATGACCAAATGTGGGTTCATAGGACCGAATATTCCGGTTCCGAAGGTCCAAATAATTCGGTTTCGAAGGACCAAATGATGTGGGAACCGACCTGTGAGATTTATATTTATTTAATTTATATGAATTTATATTTACGTTAATTTATATACTTCGATAGCAATTTGTATAATGATAAGTGGACTGTA